CTTTCTCTTTCCTTCTTTTTCTTTCTTTTTTTTCTTTACCTTCTTTCTTTCTTTCTTTCTTCCTTCCTTTCTTTCTTTTTCTTTCTTTCTTTCTTTCTTTCTTTCTTTCTTTCTTTCTTTCTTTCTTTCTTTCTTTCTTTCTTCCTTTTCCCCTACCTCTCGTCATCCAGAGTGTGGGGGGCAAATATATACTAATTTCGCCCCTCTCTGTGACACCGTCTCCAGACAAACCACAATATCATTTGCAACAATCAAATATATTCAAGTTGCTGCATTTTTAACACAACGTAAGCGGGATTCAACATTTACAGAAGCACAATTGTTACAATATTCAGATGAAAAGGAAATTGCAACCAGTATTACAAGTGCAGAGGTATTTATTGTCAATAAAATGGCGACGCTGACAACTTGAAGTTAACTTGATTAAGCTTATTTGTAGTTCACATCTACATAAAAGAATACGGTTTTGACCTCCTATAATATTTTCAAAATTTAATTGTCCGCACATCATATAGAATAGAAGGACGCTCACTCTCTTGTTCTTGGTTGGGCAACGAGTTGCAAGGACAATTTGAAAAATTACTACACAATGAGTATGAAATTAGCAGATCTAAGATCTTCTAAACTTGTATACAATTTCTACGCAAAAAAGTTTTGGTTACATTTCGAAAAAGATTAGGCCCCAAACTAAAATGTTCTTAAAAATGAAAGCCATTGTTAGAATTTTCACATAACAATGTAACTCTATAGGCTGACAATTGACGTCTCTGACTTACCCACGAGCGATTTTGCATGTGTCATTGTACCACGACAAAACATTTTATAACATAGGGTTACTGCCTACTCTTTGTATTTTTAATAATCAAGTTTTATAGTTGACATGTACTTTGTATTTTAAATTTACATTTTTGAGTAGCAATACTTACAAACATTAGTTTAGTCCTGATAGATTGAAAGATCCAACAACATTGAAATACTATGATTTCCAAATCACTACCATAACATCTTCGAAAATACGAAATGTTGTAATATTGGTCATAATCACAAAGCCTGCTGTTTAGTAAGGCAGTTTGATAAGTAAAAGCATATGTCCTTAATTCCTTACATTATCCAGTAGTAATGTGTACAAACATAATATTAGTTGAGTCTTAATAGATTCCAAGATACTACAACATTGAAATACCTTGATTTCCAAATTACTACTACAACATTTTCGATCATAAGAACTATTATGAAAATGGTCATAATCACAAAGCCTGCTCCTTAGTACGGCAGTTTGATAAGTAAAAGTACATGTACTTAATTCCTTACATTATCCAGTAGTAATGTGTACAAACATAATATTAGTTACGTCTTAATAGATTCCAAGATACAACAACATTGAAGTACTATGATTTCCAAATCACTACCATAACATCTTCAATAATAAGAAATGTTGTAAAAATGGTCATAACCACAAAGCCTGCTCTTTAGTACGGCAGTTTGATAAGTAAAAGTACATGCACTGTATTCCTACATTATCCAGTAAGCATGTGTACAAAAATAATATTAGTTAAGTCTTACTAGATTCCAACATACAACAACATTGAAATACCTTGATTTCCAAATTACTACTACAACATTTTTAATAATAAGAACTATTATGAAAATGGTCATAATCACAAAGCCTGCTCTTTAGAGAGACAGTTTGACAAGTAAAACTACATGCACTGTATTCCTACATTATCCAGTAGTAATGTGTACAAACATAATATTCGTTAAGTCTTATCAGATTCCAAGATAAAACAACATTGAAATACTATGGTTTCCAAATCACTACCATAACATCTTCAACTAGAAAGGCCGACATTTGCTTTGGAGCAAATACAGCAATGGCTTCACCACATTTTACGACATGGCAGGGAAAGAATGAGAAACACAAGGGAAAACAATGCTTTACATTGATATAACTATAGTATGAAGTAACATACAACTAAGACTACAACAGTTGGATAGCTATTCCCTACATTATTGGTTAGGATTTTTAATTGCATAATGCAAACTGTTGATTTTCAAGAAAAAAAGAAGTGTTCATGCCCCGCATTCCAATGCTGGAGCAGGAAAGCTTGAAATACCTACCAAAACACTTGAATACAGACATACTGTCAGTATGGAATGGATCTGAGCAGGTATTAATTAAGTTAAGCCTGTTAAATTCCAACAGCCAATCAGCAAGGAGAATAGAGGAAAGCTGCATGCCTATTGGTTGATGCCCTGCATTCCATTGTGATGAGTCATGCCCAAATGTGGTAACACTGCACACTAACTCAGTAATACATTTGCTATAACACAGCCAAAAAACTCAAATAAAACCATTCTAAAAGCCTGTATCACAAAAATTTAAAAAACGCCTAGGGGTATTTGCTCACTGTACCTCCATACCAAATTTCAGGACCTTAGGCCCTAAAATGAAGAAGCTGAATCCATTTAAAAAATGGCAGGAGAAGGAGAAGGAGAAGGAGAAGGAGGAGAAGAAACATCAGAAAAAGCAATATGGGTTCACCACCACTTCGTGGTGTGGTGAACCCATAATAATAAGAAATGTTGTAAAATTGGTCATAATCACAAATCCTGCTCTTTAGTAAGGCAGTTTCATAAGTAAAAGTACATGTACTTAAGTCCTTACATTATCCAGTAGTGATGTGTATAACATGATATTAGTTGAGTAATAGATTCCAAGATACAACAACATTGAAATACTATGGTTTCCAAATCACTACCATAACATCTTCAATAATAAGAAATGTTGTAATATTGGTCATAATCACAAATCCTGCTCTTTAGTAAGGCAGTTTGATAAGTAAAAGTACATGTACTTAAGTCCTTACATTATCCAGTAGTGATGTGTACAACATAATATTAGTTAAGTCTTAATAGATTCCAAGATACAACAACATTGAAATACTATGATTTCCAAATCACTACCATAACATCTTCAATAATAAGAAATGTTGTGAAAATGGTCATAATCACAAAGCCTGCTCTTTAGTAAGACAGTTTGATAAGTAAAAGTACATGTACTTAATTCCTACATCATCCAGTAGTGATGTGTACAACATGATATTAGTTGAGTCTTAATAGATTCCAAGATACAACAACATTGAAAAACCTGGATTTCCAAATCACTACCATAACATCTTCGATAATAAGAAATGTTGTAAAGCCTGCTCTTTAGTAAGGCAGTTTGATAAGTAAAAGTATATATACTTAACTCCTTACGTTATCCAGTAGTGCTGTGTATAACATAATATTAGTTAAGTCTTAATAGATTCCAAAATACAACAACATTGAAATACTATGGTTTCCAAATCACTACCATAACATCTTCAATAATAAGAAATGTTGTAATATTGGTCATAATCACAAATCCTGCTCTTTAGTAAGGCAGTTTAATAAGTAAAAATACATGCACTGTATTCCTACATTATCCAGTAAGCATGTGTACAAAAATAATATTAGTTAAGTCTTAATAGATTCCAAGATACAACAACATTGAAATGCTTTGATTTCCAAATCACTACTACAACATTTTTGATAATAAGAACTACTAGTACATGTATTATAAAATTGTCATAATCACAAAGCCTGGTCTTTAGTAAGGTCTGATATTAATAAGTAAAAGTACATGTACTTAATCCTTACATTATCCAGTAACGATGTGTACAAACATTAGGCTTTATGGATCAACATAGTGCTGCCAGTAGCTATGTCAGAGTGAATCGCAAGTACTGGCAAGTTTACTAAGTGAAGTACATGTACCACATTCCTATAATATCCGACAGCAATTTGTACAAACATATAGTATTTATAAATATATATAGATACAAAAACTTGAACCAAAACTTCTCAAAAAGACTACCAAACCATCATAATAGTAAAAATACAATATAACGTGCAATAGAATGTATATTTTGATAGATGATGTACCGCATCTTATTGTGTTTTAACCTTGCGCCCTAGATTAATGTTGATCTGTCTGAAGGGGCCGACCGAGGTGTTTTTAACCCTTCATCTTGTGTATTGTATTATTTTGGTGTCAATTAAAAAAAGATGATGTCAAACAACAGGAACTCTAAGACTTATAGAAATGATCATGGCCACAATTGTTATAACGTTATAGTAAAGACTGAAAGAAAAAACATAGCGGCCGATATAATGTTTAAGGTGGAATTCATGTTAAAAAATTAGCATTAATGATTAAGGCATTAAAAGATTTGTAAAATAAAGTCGATTAGAAATTCATATATTGGATAGTTTATGTTTGACTATCTCTGCGACTAGGTTTCCAAGCTAGAGCTTTACGTAGTTTACACCAAAAGCAAAACACTCACCCCCTGTTCTTCTTTGGGCAATGGTTAGTCAGGACAATATCAATTATTAGACAGTGTATTGTTAAATCTAACATCTGAACTTTTGTGTACAAATGTTACCAAAAAGACTGTATGTACAAAAAAGTTTCAATAGTTTCTATTACCTTTTAATTCCAAGTCCCTAAACAACATACGCAAGTCACTTTAAAAATGTGCCTGTTCGTTCTGTCTTGATCTTTTAATATAATGGTCTCAAAAAAGACTGTACAGTGTATGTACAAACATTTTTTAATAATGTCTATTACTTTTCACTTCCATGTCCCTAAACAACAACTTTGGCAAGTACGCAAGTCATTTTAACAAGGTGCCTGTTCGTTCTGTCTTGGTCTTTCAATGGTCTCAAAGATTTTTTTTCTTTTCCATCCGTATTTTACCCAATGGCCACTTAAAACTGGCAAATAAATCATGGTATTTCTGCATTTGCGTACAGCGAATTAGGCTGGGAAACAGCTGACCCTGTGCCGTAAGATATATTTCTAGAATCCAATGATTCACTGTTGGCCTGGGACAAACTTTGTCCTGTCTGATCATAACCACTGGGCCCTATAGCAATAGTGGCGCTTGTGTTGGATTCCGCGATAGTCTGAGACTCTGTCGTGACTTTGTACAAAGTATTTAGCTGCGAGGCAGTCTGCCCTGTGCCATAAGATAGATTACTAGCATCCAATGATTCACTGTTGGCCTGGGACAAATTTTGTCCTGCCTGATCATAAGCACTGGGCCCTATAGCAATAGTGGCGCTTGTGTTGGATTCCGCGATAGTCTGAGACTTAGTAGTGACTTTGTATAAAGTATTTAGCTGCGAGGCAGTCTGCCCTGTGCCATAAGATAGATTACTAGTATCCAAAGATTCACTGTTGGCCTGGGTTAGCCCTAATTCGTCAACCGGAAGGGTTAACATCATTTGGTGAAGGTATGAGATCGTGTAACTCTTGTTTGTGTTGAATTCAGGGCTGGCCTGAGACTGACCCTGTCCTTCCCGACTTATTACAGTAGCTATGTTGTTTGTCTTAGATTCTGTAATGGGCTGAGACTGGTCTTGCCCTGTCTTGGAATAATGGTTTTCACTATCTTTATTTAGGTAGTAATGATCACTGGTCATTACAGTAGCTGTAGTGTTTGTGATGGATTCATTGATGGCCTGAGACTGACCTTGCCCTGTCTGATCATGACCACTAGTACCGGTCATTAGGGTAGCTGTTGTATTTGTGTTGTATTCAATGATGGCCTGAGAATGACCCTGCCCTGTCTGATCATGACCACTAGTACCGGTCATTACAGTAGCTGTGGTCTTTTTGCTGGATTCATTGATGGCCTGAGACTGACCCTGCCCTGTCTGATCATAACCACTAGTACCGGTCATTACGGTAGCTGTTGTCTTTGTGTTGGATTCAATGATGGCCTGAGACTGACCCTGCCCTGCCTGACCATGACCACTGGTCATTACAGTAGCTGTGGTGTTTGTTCTTGATTCAGTGATGACCTGAGACTGACCATGCTCTGTCTGATAATGTCTGCTGGTTATTATAGCGTCTGTGGTGTTTGTGTTGGATTCAGTCATGGCCTGAGACTGACCCTGCCCTTCCTGATCACGATGGGTGTTCCCATCTTCATGTCTGTCACCTTGACCACTGGTCATTACTGAAACTACTGTGTTATCATGACTACCAGTTCCAAGAGGATTGGGAGTATGTCCGGTCATTCTTTTGTACCATACTGTAAGAAGGATCAGACCAATGCCAAATACTGGACCACAGATAGAGGCGATGAGAACAGGTATGGGGGGCCCGGGAGTACCTTTGGGGTAACTGCTGATTATCATTTTGTCAGAAGTAATTACAAGAGGTAAAGTTACTGTTACTATCGTTACATTTGTTTTGCCTGCAATATCATCAGTTGAGACAGGATTGTGTTTAAAGTACCGTCGATAGCGCGAACTGACGACGGGTCCATGATCGTAATAGTAGCTGGTGGTTTCTTTGTTAGTGGTAAAAAACGGGGAGGGTCCTGGTGTTACGACTTTTGGTTTCGTAGCAGCAGGGAGTGGAGAAAAGGCAGTAGTATCAATGGTCAAAAATGGAGAAGCTTCTCGTGGTGTTCTAACAGATGCTACGACTTTTGATATAGCAGAAGCAGGTAGAGGAGGAAAGGTAGAACCGACAGGTATTGCTGTTTGGGCGGGATGAGTTTTTGTGTGGCCAAATGAAGACGACAGTGGCGCCGTGGATGTTGTAAACGGGGCTTGGATGTCGAGAGGAAGGACAGAAAATGTGGTTGGCTCATTGCAGATCAGTTTAGGATTGATATTTATCAGGCATTGCGTTGAAAGAGTGGAAGGTTTGGCACATATTATCTGGTCGTCAAATGAAGTTGACCCGCCCATTTTCATCTTCACTGGAGCCATTTCACAGTCACACAGAAATGGGTTATTGCCAATTTTAACTGTAGGAATAGATACCAGCATGTCATAAGCTGACAGAGAAAGGACAGATATCTTGTTGTGGGACAAGAACAACATTTCCAGCCTGGGTAAATTTGCAAATATGCCCACCTGAATTATTGTTATCTGGTTGCCATTCAAGTGCAACACTCGCAACTGGCGTAGATTTGCAAAAGTGCCTGGATGAATTTTTGTTATCTGGTTGAAGGCCAGGTCCAACTTTCGTAGCTCGGATAGATTTGCAAATGTTCCTTTGTGAATCATTGTTATTTTGTTGTTACGCAGGGAAAGCTCTTGTAGAGAAGGCAGATTTGCAAATGTATGTTCTGGAATCATTCTTATCTGGTTCGTGCTCAGGCACAACTCTTGTAGCCGGGGAAGATTTGCAAATGTACCTTTTTGAATCATTATTATGTTGTTGCTACTCAAGGACAGCTTTTTGAGATTGGGTAGTTTTGCAAATACCTGAGTCATAATCATCAGATTTCTCCATAGGTACAACGTATGTAGCAGGGGTAGATTTTCAAAAGCACGTGAATGAATTCGTCTTATCTTGTTGGAGTACAGGTACACCGATCGTAGCTGGCATAGATTTGCAAATGTACCAGGCTTAATCATTGTTATCTTGTTATGTGGCATGTACACCTTTTCTAGCTTGAGTAGATTCGAAAATATACCAGGCTGAATCTCTGTTATTTTGTTTTCTGACAGGTCTAAGTTAGAAATGAATGTTGGGATGTTCGTAGGGATGCTGGTGAGTCCCCCCTTTTGACAGCTGTATTTTGATGGTAAAAAGACACAGCCGCCTTCTGGCATGTTGGGCTCTTTTAAGATGGCAAGAAGAAAAAGCAGCACGTGTCGCAGCTTCCTTTCCATGTTTTCCTGTGAATTAAAACAAACAAAAAAATTATAGCCCTCTTGGTACAGTCTTTGTGTTGAGCACAGTTTCAAATGTCCTGTTGCTTTTTTTCAAAATTAACCTCATTGACATTCTGTAACATTTCTATGAACTTACAGAATATATATAGAACATTAATTGAATCCTCCACTTTTAAAGAAAGCAGGGAACATGGTCTAAATTCATACTACTTAAACACTAAATAACAGAAGACCCACGGTAAGAACGTTAGCCCAGTGATCTTCCTTCTGACATGGAGTAGAAATATTAGCGTTGCTCCGTGGTATGTACCTTTCAAGCCAAAATAATTTAAGAGCGATAGTACAAGGTTAGAAAATTTTTAGCAAGTCCCGTAACGACAAACTTATCATCAATACAAAGTTGAGGCCCATCCCCAGTCAAACACCCAAAAGCACCCGACCTTCACATCCCGTGGCCTATCAAGTACCTACATGTTTCACTCGCTAAATACAGCAGTCTCTATTCACTAAAACAATCATGGACCGGATCCCGGAACTGTATGCAGTTTCGAACAAGATTCACTCAACTTTCCTCAATCCCTCCCCTACGTCATACACTCAACTCTTCATCTGTACATTTTTTTTTTAAATTCTGAGCAACGAAGAAACTTACGGGTCAACTCTTGCAGGCTGATAATCTTAGGCCCACCACTGACAAGGAAAGGTACATACGATGGCTAATAATAATAATATCAAAACAACAAGTAACAAAACAGCAATGAATAAATTTGCGAATGGGCAATATAAACGATAACATTAAAAGAAGTATCATCATGTTTTGAAAAAGGATTGTTTTCTGTAGGCAGTGTAAACCGGTTATTGTGAACAAAGTAAGATTTAGTAATAGTTATTTACGGTATATTCTCCAGGCAGGCTTTATCCGCGGTGATTCGACAATCAATCAATTTATTTGCATTACTGACAAAACTGTTGATGCTATAGACTCCAACAAAGAAGTCAGGCCTAGATTTTACATAGCATTACACAACTTGACTACCAGCAACACCCAGTGCAGTACGAGTCGTAGAGGCAAGACATAAAAACATAAAAAAAGATAGTTTTAAATGTGAAAACTGAATTATGTATAATTACTCGTAAATGAGCCTGTGTAAGAAAAATTCAATCACGTGTTTACAAGCTAGAGCTGCGTTGATTGTCTGAAGCTTACTGTTTGAAGTTGGCTGTTTTAACATAGAGAAGGAGGTTGTTTACTTGCTTTCTTTTAACCCTAAACAGTACACCTGGGGTCCGCGCGGACCCCAGCACTATATATTCTGTAATATCTTTTTTGTTTCTAAAGATTTTTTTCTGAAATTTTAGGTAATTGTCACCCACAAAGTTGTCTCTCAATACAGTGCAGAAAACTCCGTTTCTACTATTTATAACAAAAATTATATCTGATTTTCTTTTGGGGTCCGCGCGGACCCCAGCAGGCTTTTGATCATAATGGATACACTGGCGTTCTTATACATTACCTTATTTCCGTTTTTATATGCTTTATGCACTCATCGTATGTCTACCAAGTTTTTAGAGAATGGTGTAGTAATAGAATTAGATTTTAATAACTTTGGTGTAATTATGACGTCATATGACGTCAGAGCTAATAATATAGTCCTCCATATTGGATTTTGACCAATGACGTCATCAAATTAGCATATTCTATGCATATTAAATGATTTAACTTATATTTAATTATGTAAGATGTTATCAATGTTGGAAAAGAAGTGTAATTTAATATAAAACTCAGAAAATTTTTATGTTTAAACCAAAATTACTTCTATTTTCAAAACAAATGCCTGCTAGAAACCCGTTGCCATGGCAACACAAAAAAACATCAACTTACTAGTATTCAACTAATATGAACTTTTTTCCAGAGACATTTTAGGAAAGGTCTCCAAATTTGATACTTCTAGCGCAAGCCGTTTAGCCGCTATCTGAGATCAAAGTTGGGCCTCAAAAGCCTCTTCAGTCTGAAATGGGTTTAAAAATCGGGTATTTCTTCTTGTCTTCTTTTCTTCACCAAAAAATAGAAAAAGTTCAAAATGTATGATTTTTGTATGTAATGTGGACACAGAGGTTCCCACATCAGTTTGCAAAACAATTGAGCTGGTAGCATGTTGATAATTTCTAAAAATTAGCAAAAAACTGTTCTGGGGTCCGCGCGGACCCCAGGTGTACAGATTAATCAGTCCGGGAAGGTGTACTGTTGAGGGTTAAGGAAAAGAAGAAAATGTGAAGAAATGAAAATGAAGAGTCCATTTTTGTTCGCCATACCATACCTTGTGTGTTTAGTCATTTGTTCAACCTATATGACCACGTACATTTCATAATGAAGGAAACTTTTTTTATTCGCACGCTCGCCTTAGTTTTGGGGTTCCCAAAGGATGTCATCCATATAATCAAATCAACACGGCCTAGAATATTTTCTTTCTCTATTTGAACACTGTACTGGTTATATTTATGTTAGAAATCGGTAAAATAAATGAACTAACCGTCCGTGAACCACTGTGCGGCGAAGCCAGGTTCCACATAGCTGTAGTCTGAGTGGAAGATGACCGTTAAGGTGTTGGTGGTGGAGTTCAGCTGCGGAGGGATATCAGACCCGCACCACGTGCCCAGGTCAACTGCAGACTCACCCCGACCGTCTTGCACCTTCAGGGGAAAAAGGGGGCATCTGTTTAGCCAGAAGAAACCAGTGCCAATTAAATTCTCCAACCTGCAGATTACAAAATAACATGACAAGCACCATCGACCTGTACTTTTTCAATTGTACCCTTGTCCTGCGGGGCCCATATATAAATGGGTTGCACCTACAGTATTATCTATACAGCACCCTGTATTTGTACGATTTGAGGGTGTTTCTTGTGCAACGCATCACACCGCAGCGAAACGCAACAAATGCGGAAGTAACTACCCCACCTGATTAAGACATCAAATTATGTTAAAATACATGTACTGTGTAAAAAAAATGCCAGCAGGACAAGGGTTAATGTTGATTTGTGTGCTTATTGTTGATTTTGTGATGTAAGTATACCTTTTTAAATGACTTCACTGTACCTCACACTGTACACTGTACTTCAATGTACGGGTTTGAGCCGTAC